AAAAATTTTTTAAAAATTTTAATTTTTCATAAAAGTAAATCAGAAGGGAATTTATAGTAAATAAGTAGGCAAATTTGCCTGCGAATTTCTATATTTTAAGGGATAATGATAATGTTATCTAATTAGACTAATTAGAATAGTTCAGATAATTATATGATAGTAAGTTAAAAAAATCAATTATTTTCTTTTTAATAGCTTTATTAAAATTTTATTATCAGTTTTAAAAGAAGAAATTAATAAGCATTTTTATTTTTTTATTTTTTAGAAGCAGTTTTTTTTTGAATCTTAGAAATCAACTGGTAAGTTGAATTTTTTTTTTGAGATGAGTAAACTTCTTTGAAAATATTTATAAATATTCTTTTTCTTTTTTTTTAGAATCAGTTTTTTAGACCTTAGAAATCATCTGATAAATTTAATTCTTTTTTTTGGGATGAATGAGTTTCTTTAAGAATGTTTACTAATATTCTTTTTTATTCTTTTTTATAGGATTGGTTTTCTTTAAAGTAATATTCATTTTTCAAAAAAATAAATTCATTAAAAAAGGGTTATTATATAAATATTTTTTTAAAAAATTTTCTTCATACATTATTATATGACTTTTAATTAATAAAATTCAATATAATAAGATTTTTTTTTTAATATAAAAAAATAATAAAATAAATAAATTAAAATATATTATTTTTAATCAATATTATGTTTATATAAGTATTTAATTTAATAAGAAAAATAATTAATTAGAAATAAATATTATTATTAATAAAATTCATTAATGAAATTACAATTAATTATATAAAACAAAGAACTCTTAATAGTATAAAATAATAAGTTAACAAATTTAAGATAATGCAAATTATTTCATACTAGATATTTATATATTCGTTAAATACTTTATTTTTTGTATAAATATAAACACCACTATTAAAATCTTTTAACTATATAATTATATACTGTAAATTATGATTTCAATTTTAATAAAATAATAAAAAAAATTTCATCATGAGGTAATCATCAATCCTACAGCCACGTGATCAACTATCGGAAGAATTTCTTGACACGTCTTGGTTGTCCATTGATTTTCGCAAATAACCCACAAGCGTTGCAATGCCTTTCTCCTCCAACTCTTCTCCAACAAGTAGATTCACTGATCCCGCAATTTGCGCAAACCTTTGGTTGATTCGCAGAGATATTCCTTCGCTTGACTCTTACTTTGCCTTCTCTGGTCACCTCAAGTGGTCGCTTGCTACCATACTTTCTTCGGCTAAAAGTTGAAAAATTAAGTTACCTAAAAAGAATTAATTTGAAAAAGAGAGATTGAAATTGAAAAACTTACTACAACCCGCATGCGTTACACACTTTTTTCCCATCTTGACGAATTCTCCATGTTGGAGCGTAAGTGATTAAACAATCAGCACACGTTGTTTCCGAAAAATTATCGGTCAAATTAATAGAAGTCATATGATAACATGGTTGAGGAGAGTAATTCTGTCCAGCAGAATAAGAGTTAGTCGCGTTTAATTGTAGCAATTTAGGATCAATATGAAGATTTTCATAGAAGCAATTTTGTGTGTAATTATACGAGTTAATATTATTGTAGAAATTTCCTTGGTATGAACATTGATCTGGTTTAATTAAAATTTTTTTTGATTAGTTAAGCTCTTCGAAGTTATTTTGAATTATCGTTATTTGAAAGTTTTTTTAAGCTTACTTTGAATTTCTTGAAAATAATTGTTTTTATCCATCTGTGATTTTCTTCGCTATTTTAAAAAGTTGGTCAGAAAAAGGATAAGAGTGCTATTTTATATAGCCAATTTAAACAAAGGCGAAATATGCTAAATCAAGTTTCCATAACTTTTTAATGTAATCGCATTAATTGTATATACTCGATTACCTCGAGCCATTAGTGTCTCGTAATTGTTGATTGTCCATTGTTCTTTTAGATCGCTGCGCCGCGATAATTACATTATTTTTTTTACTCTTGTTTTTTGCCATTTTTTTTTTTTTTTTTTTTTTTTAAAAAAAAAAAAAATAAAAAAAAAGTTTAATTATAAAATTTTAGACAAAGGCACAGAGACTGTATAACATCGTTGTCGTAGCCTAATTGTATAAGTAACTGTATTTTCATTTTAAAGTTTTATAAAATGCATGCAGAAACGAAGCATTTTGGTGGTCCAAATCAGTTGCTAATATATGGTATTTTTTTTCTTTACCGACTCTTCATTTTTTATTATATATATCAATTTTTGAATCATAAGGTAGGTGAAATTTATTAAATTTAATGATCATAATAAAAAATTGTTTTTTTAATACATCCTTAATGCAATGTGATATACATTACATACTTTTTAATATAGGTAATAAATAACTTATACATATATATACACAATAAATACAAGACAAAGTAAAATAAATAAAATGATCTCAATGACTTAATAAATAAATAAATAAATAAGAATTGATCCTTTTCATTTAAGGAATCTATTAAAATCGAACTCCTCTTCCAACGTGCATACCAACGCGAACCTAAAATTTTTAAAATACGAGATAAATGTTAAATTGATTGTAAAAAAAAAAAAAAACTTGAAATCGTTGAATATAATTCATTGATACTCACCAGAGTTTCCAAGCAAGTTTTTGAATTTGCCAATAAATCTTCATCCCACAACATCTTTCCTTTTTCAAATAAAAGGATAACAGTACTTCCTCCTGAAATATTATAATGATAAAAATTAAATATTTTTTAATTTATTTGAAATTTTATAAAATATTTAGAAATCCTCTTACCAAAAGCAAAATAACCATGTTCGTCGGTTCTTCTCACATAAGAACCTGGCGTGCTGAAGTATTATTAATTACAAAAGCCTCAATTAGAAAATTACAAAAGTGAATGTACTAAAAGGAAATAAATAAAATAAATCAATACCTTGTGAATTCAATAGAACCGACCATCATAGCACCAATTGCGACAAATGCCACTTTACCGAATTGAGGAGAATTGATAAAGCATACAGCTCTCTTATTTTCGCCGTACACATCGAGTCTATATAATCATTAACCAATGCAATGATGAGTACATACATAATTAAAAAAATACAAGTGAAGTTTTAAAATATTTACGTTGAACGAATAGCCATCGGGTTGACAGTATAATAAGCGCCGGGAATATGTTTTACCGGTTCCAATTCTCCTTCTACTGGGAAGTGGAATCTATTAATAAAATTAAGTAAGTAAATTAACACTAATTTCCATTAAGTACTAAGAAAATTTTAAACATAAAGCAGAATGTACCGATGATAATCTTGTGGCGCCAATCTAAAAATTCCTAAGCTGCCACCCTCATATCTATGAGCGATCGATTCATCGTCAATTAACTTTGCAACTGAGAAGTTTTGACCCTTAATCCATAATTCTGTTGAACTAGTTATAGTAGGGAAAGCCATCATACGACAATCTGCTGGGCTCACTAAAACGTGAGGATCCTTTGGTGAATCACATGGTCTTGCACTAGGTTTCAACTTGCGGTAAAAGAATTCATTAAAGTTCTTAAATGAATCTAACGGATCCGCAATCTCATCTACATCAAGACGATGGAATCTAATAAATGCATTAATATCTCCTGCAGAGGAAGGATGATTAAACTTTTTCCCCTGTTTAACGGACAAGGATTCCAAGAGATTTTTTGCTTCATGTATAAATAAGTAATAGATTTAATTAAATTGAATCGAATAATTCAAAGAAAAAAAAATTTTTTTTTTAAAAAAAAATCTGACTTACTCGTTGTAGAATCGACGTTGCCAACACCTTTGTACAATAAACGAATTCCCAAACGGACATAGGTAGCCATTTTCTCTTCAGTTAACTGCCCTGTCAAGCGATCTTGAACGATAATATTGGCATTATTCTAATATTATTAAATTATAAATAGGAAGTTAAGTGAGAATTAAATAATAAATTGATAAGTTTGATAAAAAAGGACACTTACCCCGCCAATCTTATAGCCACCAAATCCAACTTTAGAGATAACTTTAGATACCCACTTTCTCTGTGCTTGAGATTCGGTGACAAAATCCCCGGTAACAAATTTATCAACGTTACCCCAATCAGAACTTGCACACATCGCAATATGAGTGATTATATTGGTTTCGGATAACTGATCAAGATTTGGTCTGTTGCAAATTGGACAATTTTGAAGGTAAATCAAATGCTCATTATCTGCTTCCTCACCGTTAACATCTGCAGAATGATGCGAAATTGAAGCATCTCCTAAATATTGTTCCAAGCAAGCAACAACTTCATCGAATTTTAATGCATCTTTTGTAGGATTTCTTCCGAATCGAGTGAAAAAATTGCTAATTGTTTCTTGTGTCAAAGTTGATCCCAAAGAGCTTAACATAGTTTCAAGCTCCACATAATTCAACAGATTATTTCCGTCCGAATCATAATTCTTAGCCAGAGCAAACCAAAATTGTCTTCGAAGCTGTTCATAGGGTATAAATTTGGTTTTGATAACGAGCTTGGAATTATGTTTCTTTGCTAACTTTTCTTTACTATGAATATTAAGAGGAAGGACTTCTTCTACCAATCCATCTTCCATGTCCTTTAGAAGATCTTGAGACTTTGATATGTTCTTTAAACCACGATCAATTAAAGGTTTAATATCATAAAGTTTAGACGCAACGTGATCGTTTTGACTAAATTTGTCCCAATCGTAAACGGAGAATTTAATCTGAAATCCGCATTCCTGCCTTTTAACAGGAAAATGAAGCTTTTCATTCCATTCAGGGTTCAAGTTATGATCAATGATTTTGGTTCGGAATGTATTCTTTGCAAAAGAAACAACAACGAACGGATCCATATCGAATCCTAATCCAGTCACTAATAAAATGAATATTTATAAAATAAGTTAACAGATATTTTAAAATAGATGACCCGTTAAATCGAAGCACTTACTGTTCTTTTCTGCTGGTAAATCGAGAGCACAAACAATCTCGAGGAAAACTACCCCAACTATTTCCGATAGTGTGAATAAGCTATCGGTTCTTGCATGAGTTGGTTTTACTGTAGGTGGTGATGCTTCAATTACAACTGGAGCAGGTACTTCTTCAATACTTAAATTGTTTATCTTTCGCCAGAATGAATTCCACTCTCGTGCATCTATGAATTTATTATCTTTATCAATAAGACCGATTTTAACCAAAACTTGACCAGAGACATCTTCACTTTTGCGGGTTGTAGTTAATGGATACCATTGTGGCTTGAATCAAAAATAGAACAAATAATAAAAAATTTAGTGTAACGAATAAAAATTTTTTAACAGAAATTACGAATAAATGGAATTACCAAATTAAGCATATCATTATATGAGATACAACCATTATTATTTCCCCATAAATTTTCCAACGAGATGAAGATTTCACCCATATAATCTCTGCCAAACACATCTTTATCCCAGCATGTCATGTGAATTTGCTTAGGTGGGTTTTCCGGATCAATTTTATGATCAAAGACTGCATCCCACCTTGGGTTCAAACTTTTATTAACGACTTGGGTTTGGTCAGTAGCATCGTCAATGTTCATCGTGATGAACTATGATAACATAATTAAATTAATTTAATGTAAAACCATCACTAATATTAAGAAGAGATTATCAACTTACAGGGTCAGAAAACCCATTTCTGTCTTTTGCAGCCAAATCTTTTGCTTCGATAATATTAACACGCAAAACAACGTTAAATTCACTCATGATGGAAAAAAAATGTTGAGATCTTGATGAGGAATTTAGATGACTTTATATAATCGGACGGAAACAACTAAAAATGAAATAATTTATGAACATCATCTTACGTAAAATTTTTATCACAATTATACTTAATTTAGGTTATAATCGGTAAACGGTTACACGAAAATAGCATGTTTACCCTGTTTTTAATCATCTTAATAGGAATCCGCATTTGGAGTTTTATTTGAAAAGCTAGAAATATATTATTCAATGAAATATAAAATTCCGATCAAATAAAGAAAAATAAATGACACATCGGAGACATCGGAGTTGTCAGTATGTTGGTTATGTTGGTGCGCCGTGACAAAATCATTAAAATTGAGGCGCATGCTTACACTTTACATAAATTTAAATAAATAGAATTTTTTTGCTTATTCGATATAAATGTATTTGCCTGTCGAACCAATTTAATCAACTCATAATAATCGTGTTTAATCAGAATATTCAGTATCAAAATCAAAATCTTTACTATTAATTAATTCTATAACAAAATCAAAACTTTTAATAAATTATTCACAAGATTTAATTAACAAAAATTACTTTTATTATAATTACCATAATAACTAATTTTTAATAGATTTGTTAGTTTCCAGACTATCAAAGTGTACACTTTTATTATTTTCTTATTCGAATTAAAACTTAAAATCTTGTCTGGATTTTCATAACTAAAAACTTCCGTAATTGCCGGGGTATAGGTTTTATTCATGCGTCGAGCCAGTGATTAAACGTGTCTCTAACAAGTTAAGTATCGTTTATCTGGATCCGTATTCCAGCATTTTTTCATTAATTCTGAATAACATGCTGGAGTCCCTTCAGGGATTTCCGGGTGAATGCCTTTACGGATATCTGAAGCTAAATATAATCGTGTTCCCGGTTATAACTTCCAACATGAGCATTCCAATTGCTGCGGGCTTATACTCTTTGTCTTTTAAAACTTCCATTGTTACCTTGAGGATGATTCAACTAATCAATGGTCGATTTTCATTGATCATTAATATATATTTCCGCTATGAAATTCTTTATGAACTAATGTAACGATAAATAATCCGTCTATTATTGTATATAAATGAACAATTTATCTAGAAAAATTATTTTAATTTCCAATTGAACATAACTATAAATTTACGCAAGTTTTTACCTCGTTCAAATATTCCGAATCTAATTATCAAGGCTTTTTAATGCTACGATTATTCCATCACTATCCTTCAATACGGAATGAGCCGCAAATCCAAATTTATCGTATAAGTTTTCTCCTTTTTCTGCTATTGTGCCAAGAATCTTCTCGACAACGTCCACTTCTCTTTCCCAATTTCTTTCATTAGCATTCCAACCATACTTTGCTAAATATCAGTTAATCAGAATATGTTATCCATCCCAAAACTTTATTGTAATCATTAGCTTTTAATTGAATGTTTCGGATGAATTTATCAACGCGCGAATTATTACTAGTCCAATTTGGAAAAATTTTGTTCAAAATATTTGGAGTTGCAGGTTGACACCATGCGCCATTTGTGTTTAGTTGCCCACATTATTGACATGTATTTCTTGGATCTAGCATTAATTATTATAAATGCAAAAAAGAAAAAAAGTTTTGAATATTATTTATTTTATTTTTTTCAATTGTAATTTAAGTTACAATTACTGTTACATATAGTAGATCGTTGTAATCTTTTCCGGTGATATTATAAATCTATTAAATCTATTATAGCTTGTTACGTTACCTTTAAATTTGATACAAATTAAAATTAATTTTATATTACCATTATAAAAAACAAAATCAAAATGCCAAGCCTTCTAGTAATAGCATAATCAAATTTATTGGTTGGATTCATGTTCAATTTGGTATGTTCAAAGTAACTTGATAAAATCCATATATATAATTATTAAAATAAGTTTGATTTCACGTGTCGCCAATTTCTTTCCTTAAAGAGAAGTGATAAAGTAAGAAATGGAATATAATAACTCATATGAAAGATACTAACCTCTGGTGGTAAATTGAAACACTCAACAATGAAAACTTTATCACACGGCGAAATCCATATAATAATTCTCTTGAAGACTTTGCACATATATCCCTTTTGGCAAAATAATTTTTTATATATGCGTCAAAGGCAAAAAAAAAAAACTTGTACAGAATTTCTATAATATATATTTAGTCAGAACTTGTAGTATTATTTTATTAATATGTATAGTCCCATATGAAAATCAAAGATTCACGTTTCAATAAAAGTAAAATAGACCTTCTAGTACTTTTCAATAATAATAAAAAAAATTTTTTCTCGTGATTTTCAATAAAATGAGATATTCTTAAGATTATTATATATTCATTTAAAAATTTTACATTATTTAAATATTAATAAAGTACAAGTAATCAAGGAAAAATGCCTCGCGTTTCAAAGCAAGACCGTCATTTGAAAAAAAAAAAAAAAAGCTCGTGAGATACGAGTGCAAAAAGAAAAATGAAAAAGAAAAAACATTGATGAGATTGTAAATGAAATGGATGAGAAAAAAGTACGTTCACAAAAAATAATTCAATAAAGAAAGTACATGATAACTTTTTTTGGAGAGGATCAGGCTTTAAACAAATGCTTGAATAAATTATTTTATATTTTAGAAATTTCTCAATAAAACCAAGATTTACCCGAACATTATTAATAGGTTACCCAAATTAACATTTTCGGTTCACGTATCATTAAAATTTTAAAATTGACCCGAGGACTCGGGGTTTATTGTTTATTAAAGCATAGCGGGCTTAAGCCTGATTGGTTAATTTTTAAAATGATCGTCACATATTAAATTCATATAAAAAAGATGATCATCAATCTTTAAATGGATTCGCAGCTACGGGGATAAATTCGCAAGGGTTGCGATAAAAAAATTTCTAAAGTATACCTTCTGTTTTATAAACTGTCAAAGTAATTTGGTAAAAA